GTGGTGGTGGTGGCGGTGGTTGCGGTAAGTTGATGTCGTCTCAAACCGACTTCAGCCAGAATCCCTAAAGCAGCGCGGTGCTGAAGGCCACGACTTGGGGGTCCGAAAACTCCTCTAACTGCGGGCACAGCACCCAGGTAGCTGCAAGCTTCCGACACTGCCGGATCGCGTGCTGGAAATGGTGAAGCGCGCTCCCTGGCTTTTGGAATGTTCTTGGAGCCGAGTCTTCTCAGAACAGGTTACGTTTGGCTGTTGAAGTTCTTAGTGCTGTGGGTCCGGTTAAACTTGCACTGTACAGTACCTGTCACAACTCTCCAGCAGGCAGCACACAAGGAGAATGTCGGAAGGCTAGCGGACTAGCGGCTGGACCTTTCGAACGTTGTCTTACAGAGACACCCTTCAGTTGTTTGTAGATGCATCTTCCATGACAAGATCCCCCCTCCCGTAGAAGTTATCTTAGTTGCCCACTGCCCCGATATCCAAGTCTGAGACAGGAGTCTACAGCAGGTCCTCTCAGTTGCTGGCAAGACAACTGGCGATTTTTCAGACGCCTGACGCTGGAATGTGAACGGAAAGATCCACTGGGTAGTTTGATGGCTTTACGAAACTGGCGAGTGCTTGCCTTCGACTAGCTCAGTTTCAGGGATTCATGGAGCATCTGCACCGTCGAGAGAAGTTGGGTGGCGTGTTCCCAAGCATCTGCGTGCCTTCCTCGAACCGCCTTGCTGGCTGGTTCTGAGGAGAAGCGAATCTCGTAGTTGCTTTCGCCCGAGTGACCGCCCGGCTTGCTCAAGCGGGTGACTTCACGAATTTTTGAGACATCCACTTCGACTGCTTGCTCAAGGTCCATCCAAACACACTCTTCCCTGCATGCCACGCATTGAAGCTTCCAGCCGAATGGTAGTGAGCACTTGTGAAACGACTCAACCAGCTTGTCCGGATCTTGCAATCGCCCTCTGCACTCGACATCGAACCGTTGCAGGTCATCGGCTAAGCCCTGTGCGATATTCACCTCCACACTCGCGTTTATCGTCAAGCGAAAATCTGGAGAGTGTCCAAGGCGACACACGTCACCTCTGAAGAGACGTTCGCTCTCTTTCTTCGCAACGAACGTCTGCACGCCTCCGAGCAACTGCTGACTGAAGTATGTACACACTCAGACAAACCTGTCAGTGTGGAGTACACAAGTTTCTGGTGCAGCCTGCAGAAACATCGACAATGTCTAGAACACTCCAAGCCTCTAGGTTTGGGCTCGCTCTCGCAGGCCAGACGGCGAAGTGTGGCGGGAACCTATCGCATGCTTCATGCTCGCCACCGGTGAGGCTTTTTCAGATGCCAAAAAGAGGTCTACGTAGAACCAGCTCAGTAGCTTGGCAGACCAAGTTTCCGACAGTTTAGTTCGCGGCTTAGTTTGCGTCAATATGGCTTATAGCATGGCGTTGAGGATGTTCTTCAGGAGTGATCATAAGGTTCCTGAAAGTACGGAGCAGCTTCGGTTGTCGAAGGCTTTGTGCTTACATTTCCCGCCTTGCGGTACGGCGCTCTGATGCGCAAAGCTTGGTCCAGCGGCATGTCAGGAGGGCCTGGGCCATCGTGTGCAGAGGACTGGCGGTGCCATGGGAAACATGGAAGAGGGGGAGAGTATTCTGCTGCAGCCAGGGTGCGAAACTCGATCTGTGTCAAGAGACCGTCTGCGGCCCGCTTGATGATGTCCATCGCGCACCAGCAGCCCTCAAACTCATTATGGGAGGGATGCAGCAAAAGCTCCAACATCCGCCTTGCCAATGTGACCCGTCCACTTGATGCATGCTCCTGACAATCAATTTTCAATACCTCGAGGTGTGAGTTGCAAGACCAAAGTCGGCTCATCTCAGTTGCTCGTGCAACCGAACCTTCAGGGTCGAAGAAAGTAACCTCCATCTTGGCACCATCTTCTTCTGTCTTGATGTAATGAGTTGTGTTGGTAAGCTGCTGCGAAAGTATGAAACGACTCTTCTTGAGTACCTCGGAAAGTTCCTCTGCAACGGGACGCTTCAAGCGCGCCGCCCACTGTGGTCGGCAGTCCCTGTAGCTGAGTTGGTCTATCGCACCAGGCCTTTGCGCAGCTTCCTGGGACAGTGTCGGGCCCCAGAAGAACAGCTTTCCAAAACGAACTGAAACTCGAGCTTCAGAGAGCTTCTCGGGCGCAACGGTATCGAGGCACCGCTGGAAATCCAGGTGTAATGCACTCCAGTCGAAATGGTCCGGGCAATAACCGTAGTATGTGCTGACACTATCGCCTGCTAAATTGGAGTCAAAAGGCACTTTCTCCAAGACATAGAAACGTCTTCCGCTGCCCCCGGCAGCTGTTTGCTGCAGCTGTATGGGGCAAACATGGAACTTCTCAATATCTGCCGGCACCAACTTTGCGCACGAAGCACCGGAGACATCAATCAAAGTGTTCTTTGAGTGAGGAGGCTTGTGAGATGCCCCAGCCCTATCAATCAGCATCTGGAAGGTGCGGACTGCTTCATCAACCATCTCCGCGTCGTGTCCACGTATGACGAGCTCCATTTCATGAGCGCGTGGGCCAACAAAGGTTTCTTCTTTGTCTTTCTTCGTCTCGGAGATATGCAGGCTTGGATAGGACGACTTCACCGATTTCAGCTGAGCACGATTTTGACCAAGGACAGTGCCTATAGCATACCCAGCCACCGAAATCGTCCGTTCAACGATTTGGTTCCCGACTTGCCGCCACTGCTTTCCCTTGCTGGGAGAAGTCTTGCCTCCGCCCTTGTTACGAAAACTTTCCACGCCTTTCTGTCCTTTCCCGCTCTGAGGCTCTTGGCCTTGACGCTCCTTGGCCTGGCCTTTCGCGCCCTTCTGCTTGCCTTTGCTTTGCAAAGAGCTCCAAGTCTGCAAGGTCGGGGGGCCACTGGCAGTGGAGAGGTTGTTGGGATGCAATCGGATACTGCACATGGGACAGAGTAGCCCACAGCTTTCGCACAAGTAGATCTGGCCACGATACCTCTGGCGTCGCACCTTAGTTGCTAGATTGCCATACTGAGGAAAACATGTCATGTTAGGTGTAATATGCCACCTAGGGCAGCTTCGAACAAGATCCTTGACGTTTAGGGTCTTAAGGTTAGAGTACAGGTTTGGGGCGTCTTGAAGATCCCAGGCGCAGCAGTCGATACCTTCCTTGCTTCATGTCGCAGACGAAGCAGTTTACCAACTCCAGAGAAGTTGTAGACGTTGCTTCGTCCCCCATGGCTACTCTTCCCGGAACCCGCAGTCTAGCAAAGGCCTCATAGATCTTCTCGGCTAGGGCTTTGGGGGTCCTATGATAAGGAGCCTCAATCGGCGGATAGTATCCTTTCACACACTAACCATAGGCTCCTAAGTAGTTCCTTTTTTATGGTTTATATTTACGGTAACCCCAAAAAGGAACGACTTAGGAGCCTATGAGTATAGCTGCTATAACATCCTCTAGTCCTCTTAGTAACCTCGTTTCGGATCCCGGGCTTGCATTTAGGAAAAGGGGCACATAGGATCTCCTCTAGGGTTTTGGGGTTTAGGGTTTAGGGGTTTAGGGGGTTTCTCAGAAGGTACAAGGGAACCCCGCGCAGAGCCTAAATAGCAATCAGGATGCTCACCACCTGACAAGGGGTAAAATCTACGAAAAGTAAAAAAGGACAATGTAGGGTATCGCTGAAATTACTAAGGATTCAGATCCCTTGAGTACCGAGTACTCATAAACATCCGCAGCCACAAAACTCCACATACACCCTAAGCCCCTAAGCAATGACCATGAATCTTCAAGCACATGGCAGTTCCAGAGAAAAAACGATGCCCAACACAAACTCCAAAACAAGAGTAGCGGCCTTAGTAAAGCACCCACCAATGAAAGAGCGCATCTTTTCCCAGCCAGGGCCTTCCCCGCATCATATCGGTGGCCATTCACCTTGGGTGTCTGTTCAGGCTAAACTGCTGAATATTGAAGTCTAGACGATGAAAATGCGCTGGAACTCTTATGTGAGACCACTCTAGCGTCCAACTTCTAGCACACTGCAGAAACCACAAGGCCTCGGCTTCAAACCTCACAAGACGAGGCACGAGTTGCGAGACTCCAGCCGCTTCGAAGTAGCCGTTGTTGCCCTTTATAGGGTTTAGGGCTTGCAAGGGTTAATTTCGGCTTTAGGGTATGAGTAGGGGGCTATGTGTTTCTGGGTTGTAGTCTGGGTTCTTGTTAAGGGATTTGATTTAAGTTACCATAATAAGGGGTCCATATCATTCACTATAGATCTACTATGGTAACTTAAATTAAATCCTTGAAAAAGAACCCAGTAGTTCAAGACTCCCAACCCCATCAAGATTCGGGAAGATACCTTTACGGGGCCCTCCTTTGCGGAACTCTTGCACCCGAGCGGGGTCTTTCGCTCTTACCCTCCCGATCAGACACCCACCCATACACACACACACACACAAAAAAAAAAAAACGAAACTGCCTAGACAAGAAACCCAAACACTAAACCCTACACTCAACGTAGAACCCTTGTAAATCCCTATAGAAACCCTGGCACCCTAATCCCGGACACCCTGCGAAGCTCCCTCTCACTGGGGACCGGTCTGCGACGAACTTCAGGAAGAGCCTGCCCAGGCCTCGTCATGGCTTCCAGCTTGTTTAAGGGTTCAGGGTTTAGGGTTTAGGGCTGTTTGTTGTTTAAGGTTTAGGGTTTATGGTTCAGGGTTCAGGGTTTAGGGTTTACGGGTTCGTGTCAGGGGCTCGTTTAGGCTTCCTTTGCAGGGGATCTAGAACAGTTCTACAGTGCAGGGGGCTTCGAGATCGGAATAGGGTTTTGGATCTGCTATAGTGTTATAGTGTAAGGAGACACTATTCCGAAGCAGTCAGGCCCCTAAATCAGGGATGCGGGATGTTTTGGTGATTGAAGTTCTGGGTTTAGGAGGCATGGATTTGGGTCTTCGGGGTTTTAGGCTTTTTGGGCTCTGTTGCTCAAGCTTTCGAGGCAGTAGGGCTTGAGGAGTAGGGTTCCATCCATCTGGGTCTTTGTGTGTTGGTTTTGACGATTCAGGATGCCTTTTTGGATGCTAGGCTTTCAGGATTAACGGCTTCAAGTGCAAAGGCCTGCAGGCTTTGCGGTAGTGAAGGATTCAAGAGACTGTGGGGATTTCGGACGCGTGGGATTTCGAGCCGCAGGGCCGGACGGGGCGATTGAGGAGCTCGAACATGACGGAACGTTTGGCAGTTTAGCATGTGGGTGTTCACTTGGACGCTGTTTCGACGTAGCAAGTAGAACCAGCAAGATGGACTATGGGAAGTTCTCTGCGAGTATATCAGGGCTTTTTTTGGGGGGGGGTTTGCTAAGTCGTGCCACGGATTGAGCCTCCAAGCATCAAAGAAGGGGCCTAGCTCTCATCCCAACCTCGGAGCCCCCTCATCAAGTTTTTTTTTTAACCCTAAACCCTACAGTCCCTTGAATTGATTCTTTCTTGACCCTATGAACACATGCGAAGAGCAAAAGGCTAAAACCAATCCTAGGAGGCTGGAAAACCAAGCTGGAAAGCTCGAGACCGACGAAGGAATCCTCAACCAACTATCACGGGCCCAATACTCATACCGATATTCTTACTGCTACTGTTCCTATTACTACTACGATTATTAAGTATCATTATATTCAGGTCCCCATGCCCCCCACCCCCCCCCCGCGCCATCAACGAAGTAGACGTCCCCCAGTGGGGCATCGAGGACATCCTGCAGCGAGGAGCCTGGACCAAACTGAAGACTGCTCTTGGGCTCCCCAGGGCTTACATACACCCTACCTGTAGCCCCCAAAAGCCGAGCTTTTCAATGAACTATGTCAAGAAAACCATAGTGAGTAAGTCTAAATTTAAAACAGGTAGGGGTTTTGAGCTACATGCGAGCCCTGAGTGCAGTATCTCGGTATCGGCCTGAGATTGAGGGTTCAGGTTTCGGTTACTTCTTCGGATCTCAGTCTTTGCGGGCTTGTGACCAGGGGGATAGCTTCTCGGTTGTTTAGGGTATAGGTTTGTCAAATGTATACACATTTATTGATGTCTGTGTAGCTACCAGTGTCTTCCTGCTACATATATACATATGTTTACACCTCCATATGTATATATGCATACCAATCGTATAATCTTGCCAACCCTAAAGGCAGCATGCCAAACGACTAAACTCCAAGGATTTACATAAATCCCAAACAAGGAAGACCCACCCGTACCGGAACGCACGGCCTTGGCTCACAGCGACGCAGTTCGTGAGGCACCGGTTGATCGTGAAGCTCGCACCTTCAGTGCGTGAATAAACAGTGCTATGTCATTCATGAACACTGCAATTACACGTGACACTACATAGGCAAATACATCTGTATTCGCAAATGTATGCACAGTGCTGGTATATACATATCTGTAAAAAAGGCAGAGAGACACGGCTACAGAGAGCAGATGCCTCTCATGTGTGTGTGTGTATATATATATATATGTACACTATGCAAGCAAGACCCATATATACTATGCAAACTGAGCCGGGTTTGGGGTTCAGGCACGTAGCCATCTACAGAATACCGAAAATGTGTACATGTGTACAGCTTTCTCGGGTGACGGGCTTGCTAGTGGCCGGGTCTGGACATTTGGGGGAAAATCCGCGGTTTCTCCGGCAGTTTGGCGATGAATTCGCACTTCTCATGACGGTGCGGCCCGTACGACGCTTGCAAGAGGAGGTGTGGCCAACGGCCCAATGGCTGCCGAAGTGGATATCGGACGACAGGTAGGCCGCCTATGTTGGATCCTGATGGGCACAATCCGCGCACTCCAACAGGCGAGTCGGTTCAATACAGACCTGTATCAGATGCGAAAGCCTAACGGCTGAAACTTTATCGCCAAACGTGTCATGCTGTTTGCAGTAAAGAGTTGCCTTTATGACTAGAATCGGGATTGGGAAACTATATAGGCTAGGGCGGCTAGGGTCTGTACAGGACATGCTCATCGTTCAGGGCCCCATGTCAAATCCTAAATATATCTCTACTCCCTTACACCCACCAGACCCACAGACAACCCCATATCGAACCCTTATGGACCATTAAACAACCCTTAAGAACCTATCAGAAGCCCATCGCAAACCTGGCAAACCCGTACTAAATCCAAACATATGGCTCATAGGCATATTAGAGCAGAAGGACCTCTCAGGAACCTCCTAGTGCTAGTTATCCAGGCCCCTACAGCCCCAATCCTCCCGGACGCTTCCCCGCCTAGAGGGTATGCCGTGGCGAAAACGAGGCCTCCGGCATGGTCGGGGAATTAACTTGGCTTAGATGCTTATATGGTGGTCTTCGTAAGGGTAGTTCTCTAAAGTAGGGTCCCCTTTTAGGTCCCCAATATAGTACGGCACCCTTATAAACAGGACCCCAAAAGGGACCCTAATTTAGAAAACTACCCATAAGTAGAATAAGAATGGGGTTCCAGGGCTCTAATAGGAGGAGGAAGGCTTCGGGGAATCCTGGCCCGGAGCTAGGGTTACCATGGATTTCTAGTTCTTCCGTGCTCCATATCAAGTCTTCGGGTTTTTGAGTTTATGGACTTAGGCCTTGGGGAGGGGTTTGCTTGAGGGCTTGAGGATTTTAGGGTCACGACTGTGTCATGGCACCCAGTTTGGGTATAAAAAGCAACTATACTAATGAGGCACCCCGAGGGATAGCATTGTTAATTATTCAGGCTTCTTTGTATTTTACAAGGAAGAACAACTGAGGAAGTGTTTAGGCTCTTAGAGTTCTGTCGGTCCAGGACGCTACACCTCTCGATGCTGCAGCACGGAAAGGAATGTTCCAAATTTCACATCCCACTGCCGATCATTCAAAGGTAAGCCGAATCTCATGGCCGAGTTTACGACCATGGACGTTCGACTGCTCCAATGAAAGAAGCATGATGTCTAATCTGGCGGC